GGTGGATGCCCCATCCCTGGAAACATTCCAGGTCAGGTTGGACGGGGCTCTGAGCAACCTGATCTGGTTGAAGATGTCCCTGCCCACGGCAGGGGGGTTGGACTAGAAGACCTTTAGAGGTCCCTTCCAACCCAAACTATTCTATGATTCTATGAGTCTATGATACAGCCATCCAGAGTGCCACAGTTATACACTGTCTTATAGAGCTGGACTGAATGTTTTTTTAATCATCAAGTCTTGTGAGTTTAATATCTCTGAAACAATAGAGAAAATTATGGGAAAACTGAAAGCCTTCTAAAGAAGCATGTGTTCTGGTTGTTATTTTTCCTTGCAGGTAATACTATATTGGTATCTAGAGAAAGAACAGCTTGAGGGAGGAAAAGGCGAGATGATACTTAGTAAGCATCTATTAGGTGTGTCACAAAACCGAAGGATTTCTTAGATTGATCATAGTTCCTGTGCACAAAAGCAGTAAGTTGTCAAAGCTGCCAATCCTGAGAAATACTGATTTTTTTTTTTTTTTTCCTGTGGGATGACATAGGAACAGTCATGGTGTATTGCATCTAGGCTTGGTAATGCAGGAGACACTAAAGACTGTAGAGAACAGAGCTGCTGTAGAGATACTGCAGCTGTTCTCATCTGCCGTAGTAGTTCTGAAAAAGAAAATGAGCTTGGTATTGTTATTTTTTGCTGTACTTTATCTTATGCTGACGCCTTGTGTATTTCTTCTTCAGTCGTGATTTGCATGCTGCTTCTGGACTGTTAAACCAGGAAAAGCTTGGGCTGATCTACTTCAGCCTGTCTTATTCCCTAAGAGCATTTGGACCACTTGGGCTGTTCCAGCTATAAAAGAGAAATGGAAATGGATTCTCCTAAAAGAGCTCTGGACTAAGCTCTAGAGAAGGATGAGGTTGGTCTCTATCTTTACCTGGTCTCTTATAGTACTGTAATGGCAAAAAAGTACTAGACTAATGTTAGGCTGTGCCTACTACCAAACTGCAAAGAGCAGGTGTGTTTTTGACAGTATTATGAACAATAGCTACCTGTTTACATGGTGGTTATTGTGTAGATGTATCAGACAGATCAGTAACTAGTAGCTATATGGTCTTGTTCTTGGGAGAAACGTGGTAATAGGAAGATCTCTTGCTATCTAACATGATCCAGACATTGAAATGAAAGAGATCAATTTTATGTATAAATAGGGATTTCTTTCTGCTAAACGATGCAAATAGTCTGTTCATTTTGCCTCACTATAATAATATTTAGCAAAATATTACTATTAACAATTAGTTTTCAATTCCTTAATCTGTAAAACATGTTTTAATGATTTATATACCACTCATAAGCAAGCAGTATTAAAGTGTAAGTTGAAAGTTATCTAGCTGCATCTAAAACTGATGCAGCAATACAGCCTGTTACATGTTGACAGTGAATTTTAATTCAGTGTGATTGTGAAGACTGAAATCTGTTTGCTAATCAGAGCTGTTTCTGAAGGAGATATCTTGAAAGAACAGATTTCAGAGCTGTAAATATATATTTGTGTATTTTACCCCTGCTAACCCGGTAATACTAGTGCAGCTAAATTGAGTGACTGCTTCTTATCCCATCTGTTTGTCATTAATAGACTCATTTACTGAGCTCTGTTGGGTTGCACCTGCCTGACCTCACTTGATAATCACGTTGCTTCCTTTTCCGAGCAGTCTCCTAATCATAAGTGCTTTGCAGCCTACATCAGTGCTGCACTTTGCAACTTCAGCTTAAGCATTTTCACAGCAATGAAATGTGATTACAAAAGCAGCTGAAAGGTAAATGAGTGAAATCTGGAAGACAGCTCTGGAAATGGAAGGAGATTTCCAGAATCTGATTTTTGGTTTTGTAGCTCACTTATTCCACACATCTGAAACACATTTCATTATCTGAGTGAGATGATGTGGTTGCATTCCTTCAAACTTGAGAAGCTCCACCGAGGAAAAGAATGTCGTATTTGGTGGTGTCATATTCATGCAGTCATTTTTGAAGCTTGCTGGTTGCCTTACAGAATGTCTTGCCTACATAAGCTTGTTTTTATCTGAGTTAATCTAGGGATTCCCTATACTCATGAAGAAACCTGTGTAGCAGTGAAGTTACTAAAATACCATTTGTTTAATGCAGTGGGTTTGAATATTTTTTGATACATGAACTCAAAATTTTCCAGTGGAGGTGCGTCCTTCCATGCAGTGAACGTAAGGCTCCTGCCCACAGGCTTTTTTATCTCACCTTTTGCTGACCCTCTTAGGAGGAGTATAAGGATCGTCAGGAATCTGTGTATTACAGGCTGGAAAAACATTGATCTGTGATAACACTATCATATGTCTTAAACTTAGAATCATAGAATCATTGAGGTTGGAAAAGACCTCTAAGATCATCGAGTCCAACCATCGACCCAACACCACCATGCCCACTAAACCATGTCCCTAAGCGCCGCATCTACACGTCTTTTAAATACCTCCAGGGATGGGGACTCAACCACTTCCCTGGGCAGCCTGTCCCAATGTTTAACCACTCTTTCAGTAAAGAAATTTTTCCTCATGTCCAATCTAAACCTCCCCTGGCGCAACTTGAGGCCATTTCCTCTCGTCCTATCGCTTGTTACTTGGGAGAAGAGACTGACACCCACCTCGCTACAACCTCCTTTCAGGGAGTTGTAGAGAGCGATGAGGTCTCCCCTCAGCCTCCTCTTCTCCAGGCTAAACAACCCCAGTTCCCTCAGCCGCTCCTCATCAGACTTGTTCTCCAGACCCCTCACCAGCCTTGTTGCCCGTCTCTGGACACGCTCCAGCAC